ATTTTATTCAAAAATAAAAACAGCATCGCTTTCTCAAAATCACATAAAGTCATATTATAACATCGACTGAGATAAAGAATAAAATGAAATATTAAAAACACGATGTATCTCGCTGCATTGCTCGAGTACGCTTCTAGTTATATTATAAATTATTTAACAAAAAATTCTTAAAAAATATTTTTTGTATATTAAACACTGTTTATTTATGCATATATTACTTAAAATTCAATATTACAAATAAATCATATATAAATACAAATTATTGGATTTACAAATAATCAGGCATCTACATAAATAACATCAGTAATTTTTTTTTTATAAACAAAAAGTACTATGATCATGAGATAGTTGGGTTTTGTTTAAACTCAAAATTACAAGACGGTCATCATGGTTTCTAAAAATATCTGGATTTGATCCCTTCCTCTAACATCCATTAAAAAAAATTCGTTAGATGTGGATCATTTTCGTTCTTTTATCGGTTTTTTTTTTTTTTGTCTTCTGTCCTATCAAAATCGATTATAAGATTCTGGTCTATATGGCTTTTGATGAAGTAAAAGACAAAAAATCGATAACAGAACAAAAAAAATCCACATTTAACAAAAAGTTTTAGCGGTTATTATATGAAGTGATCAAATTCGGACCTTTTTACAAAATATGATGATCATCTTGTAATTTTGAAACTATAGAGATAAAAAATGTTACTTTTGACAACCCAAATGCACCGAATTTGTAGTTTACTAAAAATTATATGTTTTTATTGGGCTGACGATAGCCCGTTATATTGTTCTTGGGCTAACGAGCACGGCCCATGTCTATTGAGTTGGAAATGGTGTTCGATGTCTTTTTTGGATGATTCTTTTTATTAGACTGATACACCGAACAAATTATTGATCTGATATATTCGGGCTATTATGATACACCTATACAAATATAGAATAAAAACCGTGTTAAAAAAGACTGTGTTTTGGATGTACGTTTTCGAAATGATTATTGTAATTTAAAATCTTAAAATAAAACAAAATATTTAGTTTTTGAAAGTCGATGACAGTAAAGTGATTTTATGTTCATCTCAATTAATTGTGTGTCTGTCAGATGCAACAAAATATACAGTTTTGATGTAAATACATAATGAAAAATTAATGCATTTTTTTTAATTTAAAAAGATCTTAAATTTATATATGAACGAAATATAATTTAAAAGTAATGGTTGAACAAATCTTGCTACTAAAGATCCGAGAAGAACATATCGAAACTCTTTCGCAGGTGTCTGTTTCACAATTTACACAGTGTACTTTTTCCGCAAGTCAAATTAGGAACGGATTCCATCAAAAATACCAAATCACATGAACCAAAATCGTTATAAATTCGTCCCTATCATCGTGAGCTTAGACTGCAATGTGCCTATATTACATCTTAGATCGCACAACGTGTAACATCAGTTACGCTCTTTGAATAAAAGAAACTATTTATCCAAATAAATTTTCCATAAAACAATCTCCCAAATCATTGACTTAATCAAGTCAAAGTTCATATGTTGAACTTGCATAAATCTTGATAATCTCTTGAATCTAATGACCATTTCATGCCAAAAACACTAAAATGCATTTATTTTAAATACTTAAGATCAGACCCATATGAAAGCCTAACTTTATCTCAACATGCAACCCATAAAACAAGGATATCAACCATAAACAAGTACAAAGAATGGATTATACCTTACTTGATGATCAAATCCTTCAAAGATCTTGTAGTTCCTCTTTGATTTGAGTTTAATCAAGCCTATGTGTGTGAAAATCGCACCTCTAGAGTATGTGTGAGTTCTGGACTTAGATGACAAGAAAAATGGGCCAAAACTCCAATTTATAGTGCTAAAACTCGAGTTGGGCCGGGTTGGCCCGGCTAGGAACCCATTTTGACCATCAACATTTAAATTATTCATAACTTTTCGCTCGGACCTCCGTTTTCTATGAGGTTTTCGCTTACACGATCATAAAGAGATAATCTATAACATCCAACAAAAATATTCCATAAAATATCTCCCAAGAAAATCAGTTTTACGTATCCATTTGACATGATATTTTCCAAATCCTCTAATATATTCTTAAGAAATAAAATTCTAAAGCTTCAAACCTAAACTCCCACTAAATCATAAGCTCTCTTTAACCCAATAATTAAATATACTAAGCAAATAATTGGGCATATTATAAATTGGATGTTACACAACGCCTCTGTTCATTTTTTGAAATATGTCAAATTTCGACCGTTGTTCAAAACTGCTCAATCTCTATTATTTTTTATGGTCACAACTACGTTCTACATATTCGTCATATGACATTCAACTTGAAATCCCAATAGCTGTATAGTTATGTTAGGGGATTAACTATGATACCAATAAATGTAACAGAAGAAACCAGTATTGCCTTTAGAAAATATCAGATAATTGAATGTATATAATTGTGTTTATATAAGAAACAAAATTCGGTTTTTGAATCATGTGATTCATATTTCCTCAAATTATACAAGCTTCAATCTAATTACATATCTAACAATATCAAACACAAAATGACAAATTACATGAAAATGTAAAGTACTTTAACTTGATTTCTATTTTGTAAAACGTACTATCAAAACTTCCATTTTGGTACCTAAGATGTAAGGTTTTAAATATTTAAATACTCGGATAACCGGTTGAATACTAATTTTAGATGTAAAAAATCTATGTCACTAATCACGTCAGCAAACAATACAGAGTTGGATACCACATCACTTGCCACATCAACCTGATAACTGGTTAATGCTTCAACTGGTTACTCGGATACTTAAATGTTTAAAACTTTACATATTAGGTACCAAAGTGAA